CTCGCGTCCCCGCCCCCCGCGCGCGCTCGGGGGGGGCGCGGGCGCTCCGGGGTCCCGGCCCCGCGCCGCCGCGCCCCCTCCTTTCTCCCGGCGGCCCCCGGCTCTACCCCCTCCCCCGACCCCGCCGCCTCCTCGCCACCCCCCCACCAGCCCCCCTCGGGATCGTCGGGCCCCGGCGGCGCGGGGGGCCTCCGGATCGGCAGGATGTACCCCCAGGGGAGGCACCCGGTGAGTGGGGGGCCCGGGCTGCGCCGGGCGGGGGCGCGGGCGCCCGGGAGCTCAGACCCCAACGTGCCCCCCAGACCCCGCTTCAGTCTGGCCAGCCCTTCAAGTTCTCGATCTTGGAGATCTGCGACCGCATCAAAGAGGAATTTCAGTTTCTTCAGGCTCAGTACCACAGGTGAGGGGGGGGGTGCCCCGCCCCGGGGGACCCGGGAGCTCACCTGGGAGCTCACCTGGGAGCCCCGGGGAGAAGGGCGGGCCGCTGGGGGCCCTCGGGGGCGCAGCCAGGCGGGGGCGGGGCCTCCAGGGAGCCGGGAGGAGGGACGCCCCCCCAGGAGGGAGGGACGGCTTCCGGGTGGAAGGCAGGTGAGGTGCCTGGGGACACTCAGTACTGGGACACTTTGAGCCTGAGAAGGGGCGGGAAGGGACTGGGACCAGGAGGTGGGGCGACGATAGGGAAGTGGGGAGAGGGGAAAGAGCCAAACCCATCGCTTTGGAAAGTGGCCCAGAGGGGGTGTCCCTGTGTCCTTCACAGGGTGGGGTGGGGTGGGGGTAGGGTGGACAGAGGCAGGGCCCAGTGGGACCCCATGCCCCATCTCCTTCCCAGCCTCAAGCTGGAATGTGAGAAGCTGGCCAGTGAGAAGACAGAAATGCAGCGACATTATGTCATGGTGAGGGGTTCATCATTGCCAGGACTGGGCAGTGGGGGGGGTGCTCAGCTGTGAGTAAAAGCGGGAGGGGTGTGAATGCAGCTCACTGCCACTGCCGGCCTCATTTTCCGGGTCTATGAATGGGGCTGGTTGGGATTCCAGGCTGCCTTTACGCCTGCCTTCCCAACTCCTACAAACAATGAGACAAGGATGTCCTCTCTCTCCGTGGGCATCTTTGAGGGGCCAGGGTCTCTGGGCACCCCCCCGTCCCCCTCCCTGCTTCCTCCCCTGGTCTTCCCTTCTGGGCTCCCATGGGGCTGGGAGGCTCTGTGCCCTTCTTTGATTCCCCAGCCTGGGGACTCCTGGAAGACCCAGCATTGGACTGGCCTAGTAGACATTCCCAACTGGCTTTTCCTTTGCAGTACTATGAGATGTCCTACGGGCTCAACATTGAAATGCACAAACAGGTAACTGTGTTAGGGGGTCAGAGTGTCCAGTAGGAAGGGCGAAGGTCTTGAAGGTCCCTTTCAGTTCAGGGAGTCTGATGTTTGGAGATAGATGATCCTGATGGTCTGAGGTGGACCTCAAGCTTCTGTTGGTGCTTTGAAGGGTGTGACATGGGCCCAAATGCTCTGAGGTTCTGAGATTCTTGTCAGTTTCTGCGTGGGATTCAAGGTTCTAAGTTAGACCAGGAGGTCCTGAAGTGGACTCCAGCTGTTCAAGATCAACTCTGAGATGGGGCGCCCGCATGGTTCAGTCGGTTAAGCATCCGACTCTTTGATTCTCGGCTCAGACCTTATCTTAGGGTCTTGAGTTCAAGCCCCACATTGGGCTCCACACCCAGCACAGAGCCTCCTTAAAAAAAAAAAGAAAGAAAAAAAAAGATTAACCCCAAGAACCTGACATTGACCTCAAGTTTCTCTGAAAGATAAGAGGGGCCCTGAAAGATTGGGAGGTTGATGGACTCTTAGGTTCTGTCCCTTAGGATATGAGAATGATGGGTAGAGCCTAAAACAAGGTGGCTTCCAGGTGGGTGGGAAGGGGAGTGGGTGGGCTGAGAGTGTGGGCTGCCTGAGGGGGTGCCTTTCTGGGTATATATGGGCTCTGTTGGCCCTGGTGTGGGCTGGAGAGGGGTGATCTGGCAGGAGTAGGTTGTGGTCCCATGGGTCCATGAAATAGACCTCCTTACAGGGCCCCGGGTGGTGGTCAGGTGCTAGGGCCCAGTCTCCGCCCTCCCAGTGGGAACTCAAACCCAGTCCAGCACCCCTCCAACCCAAGCACAAGCAAAGCTGACCCCACACACAGCTCGATGTGCTATACCTGTCCCCTTCCCCACCCCACTTCTCTCTGTTTGGTACCCCTGGCCCAGACCCAGTCCCCAGTGAAACCTACAAGTAAAAAGGCATTGTCTCCACTCCACTCCCTATTCTAACACCAAACACGTGGGTTTCTGCACACCAATCAGTTCTCCAGCTCCCACACCAGCAGATGTCCAGCCTGATTGGGACCCTGTGTGCCTGGTTAGCCCAGACCCCAGCTTCAGGGCTCAGTCCCACTGGCCTGTCCTGTTTCAGATACCAAGCAAAAGTCTGGGTCTCTGGACCAAACTTCTGACCACCCAACTCTATGTAAATTGAGGGTTCCCATAATCCCCACCTTGGGCTCAGTCATTTGCCCAAACAGTCCACAGAACTCAGGAAAACAGTTGACTTACTAGGTTACCCACTTATTAGACAGGACGGAGCTCAGAAACAGCCAGACGGAAGAGGGCAGAGGCCAGGCACGGGTCGCACAGCGTCCGTGGCCTCCCTGGGGGCGTCCCCCTCCCAGCACCTCCATACTTGGACCCACCCAAAGCTCTCCACCAACTCTGTTAGGGGTTTTTATGGCGGTCTCACTGCATAGGCCTGAAATCCTCGGCCGCTGGTGATTAACTCCATCCCTCTAATAAAAGCAGGTATGGCTGAAAGGGGGTTACTGAGAGCTGCAAATGACGCCCTCCCCCCACCAGGTCCCTTACCCATCACAGAAATCCCAAGAGTTTTAGGGGCTCTTTGCCAGGACCTGGGGACAAGGAGCGAAAGACGGATTTCTTCTTATGAATCCACCCCTACAAAGCCCCTTCCCGGAGGGTGGTGCGCTGGGGGTCTCTGCCTGGTTGTGGCCCCAGGTTGCAGAGGAGACCCAGAGAGAGCGCCTGTGCCCAGGGGAGACGGCCTGGGAGGGCCACTCCTTTGTTCATGATGACCCCCAGGCCCCTCTGAGTGGGGCGGCTGTGTGGCTGCTTCCCGGGAGTCTGTTGATTGAGTCGCGGCTGGTGGATCTGTCCCCGCCTTCCGGCTCGCGGCTGCCCCGAGCCTCTGCCTCTCCGGCTGCAGCGTCCCCCGTTTGCACCTGCTGGTGACGGCCCCTACCTCCTGGCTCTACTGAGACTTCTTATATCTGGAGTGGAGGGTCTGGACGGAGGGTCACCCCTCCAAGCTTGCTCCCCACTGTTTCCTGCCAGGCTGAGATCGTGAAACGCCTCAGTGGTATCTGTGCTCAGATTATCCCCTTCCTGACCCAGGAGGTGAGTGGGCCCTGCTGGGGCAGAGGGGAGCTGGAGGCTTGGAGGAGGGTGGCCGGCTCAGAGTGGTGGGCACTGGTTCCACTGGGTGGCCCGGGGGGAGGGGGGCACTGGGCTGGAGCAGGGGGCTTCAGGGACCGAGGGGGCTGGTGGCTGAGGGTGAGGACTGGGGTTCCAGCCCTGCCGCCGGGCCTCCTGGGTCCCAGTCCTGGCTGTGTGCCCTTGGCTGCCTGCTGTGT